CATTACTTGCTCCAAATTACTTTAGGAGTCTCAAGTTGAAACTCTGGGAGATTATGTTTGCCTCCTTCGAAGAAGTGTGGCTAAAGAGATCACTAACAAAAGTGATTTATACACAACTGTGCTCCTCATTTTGGATATTCCTCTCTGAGAGAGAAAATGTCGTAAAACTCCTAACATTGCTCCACACTCCCTTGTGAGGGTTTCATCTACCAGGTTAGCCAAGGATGAGGTTGCAAACTAAGGGGTTTCACAGCATTAGAACATTATACCAAGAAACAACACACATTTCATTAAAGAAAATATATTTTCATTAATTACAAGTTTAATCTAAGACAAAGAGAGCTACTTTTATTTCACCCTTAGCCTACTAAAGTAACTTAGCTCATGCTCAGGAGCATGATGAAAACATAAAAATAGAAAAACTACTAAAAAAACTAAGGTAACGATAATGGTGGTTGAGCTGAAGAAGATGGTGACGCAAGGTAGGGTATTCTCTTTTATTTGTAGGTGTTGATCCCTTTCTAGCTGCTCGCAGCACTTGATTAGATCAAAGGTTGAGAATTCCTTAGGGTGGTGTTTGGTTGGGGACTTTTAGTTAGTATCCCAGCAAAGTGCATGTGGGTAACTGAGTTCTCCACGTTTGGTTGAGGGATTACCCAAAATTTAGCCATCAAAGTTCCTTCCCCAGCTATCTGCGTTTTAGTGTAAATGAGGACAATTTCTACTGTTGAAGAAACCCTTTTCAACCATGGTATTATTGAATAATATCGGACAACTTGAAAAGGGGACAATTTTTTTGACAAAGTAGCCCCTCATCTTATCCACGGAAGAAAATCTCAGCCACATGCCAAATCTAACTAGCTGGGGAATTTTGACTTGGTTCCCATTTGTTTCAGAATTCCAAACTAGGCTGCTATTCAACCAAGCATTCAGCCGAGGTCTTCAAATCCAGCGCATTCCGGCTGGTGGCAAGAAGCATAAGCAGGGCTGAACCAAACCCATGTGTAGCATTTTATTTCAGACAGAATATCATATAAGAGTTATAGTATACTGAGAAATTTCAGCAAAATTATGTCACAAAGCGTATACCCAATATGAACTGTGTATGGCTTATCACAATATCTGTTAGTTCTAACAATAGCTCTGGGTAAAAAAGGTCGGTTTGTTTATATTTGTTAGTGGGAGAACAATACTTCGAACCAGTGTTAACAAATACAGGGTTATTCAATTGGGGATTCTTTTGTAATTTGATTAAATTTTTCCATCTATATTTTATCTTCAACCAAACACACATTCAGTAATTTAACTCAATTTTCCTGGTAAAATTTTGCCCAACCAAACAACATTTTTTAAACTTTCCTATATAACTCACTTTCCCCTCAGATACCTAGTAATTATATTTTCCTAGCAAAAAAATATTTCTCCCAAACCAAACACTACCTAAATGCTCTCCAATCAGAGGTCTACTCCTTAACATGTCAGCCCTATCCATTCTCTTGGTCCACTTCTTTTTCCACTTTTTACTGAAATTCTTGATGCTTAGATGCTACGTAACATTGCAACATTCTTCCTTTGTTATCGCTGATGTGGCGACTCCTGGTTGGTCACTTTCTGCGGCAAAAGATGCTTTTTGGTTGTTTTTTATTTTATTGTCTTTTCCTAATTTTTTTTTTCCCTCCAAGTTGCCTCAACTAGGGCCGGCAAAATGGGCTGAGCTCGCCGGGCTGGCCCGCCCCGCCTGCCAAATGGGGCGGGCTGGGTTGAGTCTTTCAACCCATCAGCCCGCCAAACCCGCCCCGCCAAACCCGCCAGCCCATATGGGTCAGCCCGCCAAGTCATTTTTTTTTTTTTTTTTAGGATACCCAATTGTTATGTAGCTCCGTATCTTAGATTTCTCTGCTTGCAAGTGGCTTTTTTGAATTGTTGTGGACTGCTCATACAACACTTTGTTACTTGTTTTGTTATTCTATTTTATCCTGATATGATTTTATTTTTTTATTATTATTTTTGGATTGAAAGATGCATATTTATATACAGATTATTAAACACTGATCTTCTTGGTTTCATAAGCACATTAGGATTTTATACAGATTTTTGTATGCTTTTATGCAGATTTTTTTATGTGATTTTATGCAGAATTTAATTTTTTGTATTTTATTTTTATATTTTTTTTTTATTTTAGGCGGGCTGGCCCGTAGCCCGCCAGCCCACTCATAAAACGGGCCGGGTTACTCAATTCAACCCATTTTGTCAAAACGAGCCGGGGCGGGCCAGTCCATTTTGGGCGGGCTAGTGGCGGGCCGGGGCGGGCTGGCCCATATTGCCAGCCCTAGCCTCAACATTGGTCTTCTTTAATTTGGAGTTGGGTTTTGTCAAAGAGTAAAACAACCCATTAATCCTAACAGAATCAAACTGAAATACTCTCTGTAGTTATCTAGTTCCGGATTTAGCAATTGCTCTAGCCAATTTACCATTAAAAGTGCTACTGGAGACAAACTTGGTAAAAAGCAATAAAACTTAATAGCAAACTGGGGAATTTAAACAATAAATGCAATGGATAGCGCTTTATTTTTTAGGCCTATCATGTACAATCTTATTTCTATTTGATGATATATTCCCCCTTTTTCTTGTCCCATCTTTTAAGTTTTATGGTTTGAATTATCTGATTCGTCTTGAAGTTGTATAAAACATATAATTTCTCCTATAAGTTTTATGTTTTTGATGGTGGTAAAATATGAATAAAATGAGCAAGTTAGTTCAAATTTTAATGGTGTTAAAAATAAAGTTAGATAAAAAAAAAATAATAAGAGAAATAAGTAATAAATAAAATCATAGTAAAATAAATGATAAAAAAATAAATCACATGAAATTTTTTAGTTTCCTTTTTTAACCTCTGCTTGTTTACTGTAGCTATGTTTCATTCTTTTTGAAATTCTCAAGGGATTTTCAACCAAAAAAAAAAAAAAAATCTTATGGGATTGTCTAGGTACACGTGCACGTCCACGTAGAGAATTGTCCCTTTCATTTTCAATTTTTTTTTAATTTCTTAATGTATTTTTTATTTTTTTTGTTGTGAATTCTTTTTTACAATCTAGACAAAATCAAATGTCCCACACCAAAAAAAAAAAAAATTGTTTACTGGACAGACACAATCTTAGATTCCAAGATATACTTTTCTAGACGAAAGGAAATTCTCACGATATTTTCAAAGTATATATTCTAGATACCAAAATTAGAAACATAACAAAATATCAAATCAGCAGTAAACTTTTTTATTATTTTAAAACTTATACAGATGCACACTCGTACTCTCGATGAAGTAGGTAACTGTGATCAAAACTTTAAAGACTAGATCATATGCATCGACTGATGTTCAAGCATAACTTCAATAAATAGCCATTTAAAAATTTATTTATTAGGCTATGTTTAAATGAAAGATAAAAAAAAATAAAAAATAAATGAATAAAATAAAATAATACTATCTGTCTTAGTTTGAATTTTTTACAATTAAGTAAAAAGAAGGAGTGAAATCAATTTTATTTCTTTTGATCTCGTACTCTCTTTTTTTTTTTTTTTCTCTCGAGTTTGAAATGATTGAATAGAATAATTTCTTCAAGAAGTTATTCGGTAGCCCATATGACAAGCAAAAACCAAGATAGAAACGTATGTAGTAAGTTTACCTTACAAACCATGTGTTTGATTTTGGCAAGAGAAAATGACCGTCAAATGTTACTGCTCGAGCCATCTTCCGCTGGTGACGGCAAGTTTGTTAAAATAAATTAATCTCACCTCGATAGATACTTAATTTTTTAAAGAATTATTTTAATATAAAATCATTATTTAATGAATAAACACCAATATTTAATATATGAATATAATTAAAAGTTATAAATCTCGTATTTTTGATATAAAGATATGAGAATGAAAAACTTATAATTCATATCATTTCAATCCTTTTATTAGAATTTTCAAATAATAAAATTTAAAATTCTCTTCACTTCATTATAAGTGTCCAAACAATGCATATAAAATTATTCTGCTCGATCTCGCTCATGCTATCCCATTCCATTTTATTCAATCTACCCTTAAATATCCAAACAAATACTTGAAAACTTACCATGAATTCTTTTTCGTTTTCTACTTTGACTGAGCCATAACTATAAATTAATCTCGTTAAGAGCAACCTTGAGTTATACATAAGCCCAGTACACATAGTGTCCACCCCATACCATAACCCATTATGAGCCAACATTGCTGTTACGGCGGAGTATAGCACTCAGAAATTGTGATACTTAAGGGGCGGTAGAAGAAAAATTTAAAAATATAAATTTTACATTAAATTTACAAAAAAATTTAATTTCCCGAAAATCCTAAAAAAACCATCGTACCAAACATCCCCTACATCCCCTTAGTGTCCATTTATATGAACTTTTGTTTCTAAAAAAATTGCTTTTTTAAAAATAAAAATCCTTTTGAAAAATTTTAGATGTTTGAATAACAACTTTAAACAAAAGCAATATTTAAAATAAAAATTAAAATACTGCATTTTTTTTCTAGCCAGTAGTGATTGCTTTTGAAAAAAAACAGAAATTAAAAGATGATATAATTTTTTTTTGAAAAAAAATAATTAAAATTTTAAAATACAATTAACCTTATCCTATCATATTTATTTTATCTCTCCTTATCCTACGATCATATTATTTTATCTCTTTTTTATTATAATTTTATATATAAAAAATGCTTTTTATTTTATTTTAACATCTAAACTTTTTTTATGTAAAAGCAATTTTCAGATCATACATTCAAACATAAAATAACTATATCTTCTTAAAAAAATAATACATAAAAAGTCATTTTTTAAAAAACTCATCCACACGAACCCTTTACCCACCTATACAATTTTCAAATTCTCCAAGAAGGACCCAATTTGTAACTTAAAATCTTTTACTTATTGACCAATTATTCAAGCAAATCCAAACATAATGATATACCAGCGGAAATTTCAATCCAAACAGCAACAAATTATAAGTATTAAGAAGCAATATGGCAACATATTGATACTGATTTCATTTCAGTTTGTCAGCATCACCCAAAAAAATTATATTTTATTAAAATGCAGTCCTTAGCCACTAAGTACTTTTCTAACCATGAGAGGCACATGACACTAATGCCCCAGAACAGGCAAAGGTGTAGCTGTTACACTCGCAGAGAAGCTCCGGAGTTCTTCCTGCACTCTGCTAGCATATCCATGTAGAACTGGCACTTGCTAATGTCATTCCCATAGCCGTTCAGGCACTGCAATCAAATGAACATGAACATCATCAACTGAGGTAATATTCTCTTAATAATTTTACACAAGCAAATTCATGTAGACAGTGAAGTATATTTAATCTAAAACACGAGGTAATACAAATATACAAAAACACGAGATAATACAAACATACATATATCAATTAATACAAGAGTTGCCACTGCTTGTATGACAAATAATATGATGACTATCATAAAATGGAGGTACTAATCCTATTGAATCTCAAATTGTTTTGAAATACCTCAACGGTTATGGATTTACTCAGCTAAAACCTCAAGGATGTCAAAATATTACAACAAAACCCATAAGGATCAGGATCAGGAAGCAAAATATAGACGAGTTACTATTAATAGATTAACACACATTCTGAGAACAGTGGCATAGTCGTACACTACAGTAATTTTTATGAAAATCATCATGAACAGAAAGAACTCAACAGAACAGTATCATATTGCTTGACACAATGCAGAATTAAAGAAGTTATGACCAATGAAATTCTTTACATAAGAGGCACAACCTAATAAATACACTGATATACCATACATAAGAAGTTCAAAACCCCACATTCGCCTTATAAATGAAAAAGAAATAGATTATATCAACAATTCTCCGCAGTCTGTTAGTATTGATTAGTTACCAAACAGTGGAAGATAAATTTTATCTCTCCCACATCTTTTTAAGCTGAAAATTTATTCATCAAGTTTTGAAATTAATATTTGAATGACGCATCTTTGTATTGTAAATACGTACAAGTGTAACTTATGATACTAAATTCAATGTTACTAGCAGGTTGAATATATACCAAAAACACACTATTCCTGAATTAAAATAAAGGAAAAATTTCAAGAAAGAAAGGAACTAGGTAAACAACATACATCCTGGAATGCCTTTGAATGAACACCACATGCATCACCCCCAAAAGTATTTGCAGTGGGTGCAGGAGCAGCAGCAGCAGCCTCACTGACTACAGTTTCATGCTGAATGGTACGAGGACCCATTACTGCATCTACAGCCCTGTGTGCCACTGCACTTCCAGTGCCAAAAGCCACACCTAAAAAATAAAGTGAAGAAAAGAAATTCAGTAACAAATGAGAATATAACAATTCATATTTATAGGGTTCCCCATATGGCAAATGCAACATTAATCATGCTTGACATACCTTGAGCTATGGTTGAACCAATGCCACCAAGCATAGATCCACCGCTACTCTGAACAGGAGCTGGAGGAGGAGCATGGTTGACTGCATCAAGATAACAGTGTAATGTTCATCCAAAAACAATGCCCCACAATTTCTTGTTGGAAGACAAAAAATGTATCTACTCAAAGCTTAGAAGTTTATGCAAAGGTTAGCCTGTTTTTTTATTGCATTCATGCATCATGCATACCTGGCTGAGGAGCAGGACGGGCTGGTGCTGCCCGTGGAGCAGGACGAGCAGATCTTCCTACAGTAAGCAATAACTCAATAGGATCACATAACTAGAAAACAACATTACAATGCAGAATAAAGATGATCAAATCAATAGTTTACCCCCAAACACATAATATAAACAAATGGCTATATTATGTTTCCATATCATAGCAACAAAAAGTACAAGAGACTAACCAAATCAAAGATAGGAAAATTTCTAAACAATGATACAACATTCATTTCCATCCAAATATTTCAATATTCTCACCACTCGTTGCCCATCTCCATTCCTAAGCACTGGGTTCCAAGGATTTCAATGGTTGACTTGGGTTGGGTGTGCAATTTTTGGGACCTGACCCAATCATGTATGCAGTGGGTTGGGTTTGGGATTTTTCTTTACCTTTAATTTGGTCAAGTCCAACCCACACAAGTGTGAATTGGCCTCTGTTTGTCAAGGATTCAACACACAAAAATAAAAACCAACTAAAATTTAAAACTATATACATACCACAACATGCAGAAGTCCAAACACATGCATTAGCCAATAACAATTGAAAGTATTCACTACATAAATCGAAGTCACAATTAAAACACCATCGAGCAAGATTGTCAAACAGCAAATCAAATTGCAAAACAGAAGACCTAGTTTTTAAATCCTAACTTGATACAGACCCTGAATCGTATTAGTCATAATTAAAAAATAACATTAAACGCATTTTTTCACGTAATAAAAGTGCAGAAGTAAAGAAATAGAATAATTTCCTTATTTCCTTTTCTATGCACACCAAGTATTAGGATTTCTACATTATTTTCACTCTCTCAACATAATATCTAGAAACCAGCAGGAAAAACCCTATTTTATAGGCCGTCTATTTAGTTTCATCTCCCACAGACCCCACCACCCTCAATGTCCTATCACCAGGGGGCAGATGCTCATCATAGCTGGAGTAGCCATATGGCCCCCAAATAGCCCTGAATCAACCCACTGCCACCATATGTTGGTTGGGTTGGGCTGGGCTGGTTTGAGGTTCGACCTAAACCGCACAACCATGACACACATGGCTAACAACAAAATTGATTACAATAATATAACCATCAACATAACTCATAACCCAAACAACCATCAACAGAAATGAGAAACCATAAATCTTTACAGCTTAAATAATTTTTGAATCGATCAAACATATCCACAAAACCATTAACAATTTCCCATAATCCGGGAGAGAAGCAATTAAAATAGCCCTAAAACAAAAACGATTCATGGGTATGAAATTATTCATGCTTACGACTTAGGGGCACAAAGTTCCCAACTTTCTAGAGTAATAAAACAAGGGGAGGTAACAGGAAATGGGAAAATTTTATCGGGAAAAAAAAAAAAAAAAAAAAAACCCTAGAAATCATGGAAGGCGTGCGAAAATACAACAGAAAGATGTTAACAGTAGATTATTATATAAATAATTGGATTTAAGCATGTACGAAAAAGATTTGGGATAGAGATCTTACCACCTGAGCTACGGCGAGGCATGATTGAATTTGAGGAGTAAAAGGAGGCGAAAGCAAGAAAACAAAGGTTTGTGGAAGTTGAAGATGTGAAAAGGTCTATTTAAACCCTTAAATTAAAACCTCTGAAATAGTCGATGGAGACGTGTTTGGTCAGCATTGGTTGATTATCGAAGCATCTAGAATCGAATATGCTGCCATCTATTCATTACCCTACTTAACTTACCTTATTAACTTAGGGTTGATCCTCATCTCTTTACAAGAATTTCAGTAGTCTTCGATCATTATTAATTTAGTGATTCGAACCAATTAAAATCGGATAATTTCAATTATACCTGAATGGAAAGATTACACGAGGCTCGAAACATCAAAAAAAAAAAAAAATTGATGGATATTTGATGAAAAAAATATTTCTTCTGAAAAGATATTTTATCCATGTGATTCTAGGGTTTATGATTAAGAATAAAAAATATTTTATATTTTTTTATATTTCTCTTTATATCATGAATTTTATTAAAATACTCTTTATTTTTAATTTTTAATCTAAAATAATATTATTTTGAAGTTATAAGAAATAATTTTATTTTCTATAACCACCGAAAAAATATCAATCTCATATTCGATTAATAACTTTCTCATTAAAAATAAAAGTATTGTAATTTAACGTCATTTTATAGTGTGTTTTCAAAATATAATAAGTATTTTTGTAATTTTTTTTATACATGGTATTTTCTATTTTTTAATGTATTAAATATTTTACATGTTAATTTGTATTTTTTTATTCATTAACAAGTATTTTAAAGGCATGCTCACTCATTAGTAAATTCTTAAATTTATTGCGTTAGTATGCTATATATTTGAAAGTAAAACTATTATGAAAAGAAAGTAGCTCTGCTAGGGTTTCTAATGTCGACGAAAACAGGGCATGCAATCTTGTCGGAGGAAGCTGATATCCTCCAGAGAAGTAAAAAGAAATACAAAGAAGAAGACGAGCCTTTCAGCCATGAGCAAACAATGGTACCAAAAGAGGAAGAGTGGATGAAAGAGGGTGTGTCCTTTGAAAAAATGTTGATGACGCACAATGGGGAGTGGTCGAGAGAAGATGAACCATTCATCTCAAAATATGAAGAAGAGGGAGAAGAACAAAGGAATGTCGATGGAGGTGAAATATAACCTGAAGTAATCTAGGAGTTAGATAAGGATGGCCGTACGAATTTCAAGCTCTCTGATGCTTTCAAGAAGAAAGCGTGGAAGCCATGGAGAAAGGCTCTGTTTGTAAAATTGCTGGGTAAGAAACTGCCTTTGTCTTTCATGAAAAAAAGATTAGAAAATATGTTGGCAAGGGAAGGTAAGGTTTTTATTACTGATGTAGAGAACAGATTCTTTCTGGTTAGATTTTCAAATCAGAAAGATTTAGATTATGCACTTATAGCGAGTCCTTGGGTAATCATGGATCATTATCTTGCTATCAGATCATGGGAACCTGATTTCCAACCTTATCAAGTAGCAATTAATAGGATCGCAGCGTGGGTTCGTTTGCCAGGTTTTCTTATTGAGTATGTTAATTCAGGGCTGATGAAAGAGATTGGCAATTGGTTAGGAAAATTCATTAAAGTTGATGCAGCAACAACTTCGATGGCTAGAGGAAGATTTGCTCGAATGTGTATTGAATTGGACCTGACAAAGCCTCTGCAAACTGAGTACAAGTTAGAGGAAAGAATCAAACAAGTTGAATATGAAGGGCTTCATCTTGTCTGCTACTCTTGTGGGCAATATAGTCATGGAATAGAAAATTGCCCACAGAAATGCTCCCAAGAAGCTGATGTATCATCTGAGGAAAGGAATATGGAAGATCAGAATAGGGAAGCTGACCCCAAAGAGACACAAGAAATAGAGGTGGTAGATCAAAAAACAGATAATAAATATGGACCTTGGATGCTGGTTAGCAATCTGAAAAGATACAACATTAGCAATGTAGCAGCACCAAAAAGATAAGAGGGTATTAATTCACCTAAACCATCATGGATAGCATCTTCAAGATATGCTATTCTTGAAAAAGACACCAAAGAGCAGGAAATGGAAGGTGACCAGGTCAGAATAGAAGTGGAGTCTAATGGGCAGGGCAGAAGTACTCAAACCAGATCAGTCAACATGAATAAAAAGAAACAGTCGAAGAATGAATATAAGGTGGTGGAAACTAACAATGAATTCAAGCTAGTTGGAGGGACTGGTGAGACAATGAAGGATGATAGCAACAGAGGTAGCATGCAATATTCGGATGGTGAGATAACTGGAGCCAAGTATAAGCCAGAGCCAATTGAAAATCCTTACCTGTCAATAAAATCAACAAGCAAGAAGAATAAAAAAATAGTGCAAAAAGTGTTCAATAGAAATGGGCCCCCTTCAATCCAAAGAAAGCAAAGTGAAGATGGTATTAATGATTCCTTGGTTGCTAATCATCAAGTAGCTAAAATTGATATCCTTCAGGCTCCAAGGCCTCCTGACCCGATAATCCAAGAAATGGAGCAAGATGGTATAGAGCGAAGTCTAAATGAAGTTGATGAACAAAATGGGAACTTTTCAGCCATGGAAGAGGAGACACAAGTACTCTATAACCCTGTAAACACCTCTTAATTTATTTATGTCTATTATTTTTTGGAATGTTAGAGGCGCTGCAAGTAGGGATTTAAGTAGAATTTTGAAAAGTTTGGTGCGTCAGTACCGAATTTCCTGTGTGGTTTTATTGGAGCCAAGAAACAATAGTAATATTGGTTTAAACATCACAAAGAAGTGTGGATTTGACAGTAAATGTGTAGAAGAAGCTCATGGATTTGTTGGGGGTATTTGGATCATGTGGGCATCATTCAAAATTCAAGTGGATCCTTGTTATCAAAAAAAAAAAATTCAAGTGGATCCAATTACCCAAACAGATTAGATGATACATACAAAAATAACTCTTAACAATGGGGAAAAATTTTTGTGCATAACCATTTACGCTAGCCCAAGAGAAGCTCAAAGACATTGCTTATGGAATGAATTGAAATCAATTAGCAGAAATGTATCAGAGCCTTGGATAGTTGGTGGGGACTTTAATGAAATTACAACTATATAGGGAGAGAAAAAAGGGGATCACCACCAATTTTGCTCAAGATGTCAACGTTTAAAGATATTTTAGAGGAATGTCAACTTGATGATTTGGATTTCACAGGTTCAAAATTTACTTGACAAAAGTAACCTTGACAGAGTTTATAAAAGACTGGACATAATTGTGGCCAACCTTCCTTGGAGAATTGGATTTGAGGATGCTAAAGTAGCTCACCTTCCTAGAATTCAATCAGATCACAACCTTTTACTTCTCAATTTGTTTGGAAACAGCAACCAAAAAGGAAAGAAAAAACTTTTAAGTTCCTTGCTACTTGGCAATAGCACCTAAATTTCTAGAATTTCCTTAATGATCATTGGTTTAAGAATTTTGATGTTCCTTACATGCTACATAGGTTAGTACCTGCCATGAGAAAATTGAATAGAATTGTGTTTGGGGAAATTAACATGAAAAAAAAAGAGTCTAATGAAAAGGATAGAGAAGATTCAAGACCAAAGGTTGATTAATGATTCTACTAGGCTAAACCAGCATAAAGATAAGTTGCGACAACAACTTAACATAGTCTTGGAGGAGGAGGAACTGATGTGGTTTCAAAAGTCTAAACAACAATGGATTATGGATGGAAATAGGAATACAAGATTCTATCACCTGAATACAGTTATCCGCAGAAAAGTAAATAAGATTTCAAGGCTGGAGAATGATAGCAATCAGTGGATTGATGAGCCCGAGGAGCTTAAAAAGCTAGCTTGCAGTTACTTCCACAATTTATTCAAAGAAGAGATCTCTAATAGAAGATTGCTAATGTAAGAACCTGCACCGTTAATTAAGGTATTTAATTAATTAATTATGCAAAATTAGGAAATGATTCCATAATTGACTCTAGTAATTATTAAGAGGCTTTAATAATTATAGTAAGTGCGTAATAATGCTGAAAGTCGCTTTTCGGAAGAAAAGTGCAGATACCGGTTCTGCTAGTCGGTATAAATGCGTACCGAAAAAGTATCCTGGAAAATTATAATAAGTATATGATAATTACTAGAATGATATGTAGGACTTGTAAAACGAGTTTCGATTCCAGATAATGAGAACTGGTGCTGGAAACCGGTACTGGCTTGGAAAAGCGCGTACCGGAAAGGTGCTCAGAAAATTATAAGAAAAATATGATAAATCTTAGAAAATTATGTAGTTTCATAATCAAAAGTTTGGGATTAAAATGCTAAGCGTAGCAATTAAAGTTAATACTGTATGTTTAAGTGCGTTTGGGCTATAAATACCCTTTTAAGGGCACATAACCCTAGAAAACTGTCTCTATGCGTGAGTGTCTTGTGGTGGCTAATCAGTTTTACTCTGTGTTGGTGCTCTCTTCCCTTGTGTGAGCCTTGTGACCTTCTATCTCCATGCTACGTCTTCCTAAACACTTGGTCTTGAGGGTGTGAGTCTTGTGAGCAGAAAAAAGGCATCTTTCTGAGTTTATGAGTTGCTGTTTGTGAGGTTCTTGCTCTGAGTTGGAGAGTTTGGAGGAGAGTCATCTTGTTCTTGGTGGTTTAGAGCTCCAAGTAGCTTCCTTGGTGAGGAAAGGACTCATCTTGTTGGTCCATTTTCGTGCACCTTGTTGAGTCAGTCTTGAGGGGCTGATTGTGAGCTCCAAAGAGCAACCTCTTCTTCTGTTTTGAGCTGGGGTATGTGTACCAACCTTTGATCATGAGTTTAATGCTTAAAAATGAAAGCTTGATGCATGTTAAGGCTTAAAGATGGTAACTTGTTGTTGGGTAATGTTGAACACACCTAGAAATGCATGTTTAGGTGCTTAAAATCATTAAAAACCCAACCTTGGAAGGATATCTTCACGAAATGCATTTTCTGCATTCTGTCGTGAAATATCCGGATATGTGCCCGATGAATATTCGGATATGTGATATCCGGATATGGGTTTTGAGTATCCGGATATTAGGTATCCGGATATGGGATTCTGGATATCCGGATATGTCCAGTGAGATATCCGGATATTGAATATCCGGATATGGTCCCGAGGAATATCCAGATATTCTGGGATTTCGAAGAACAATAACTGTGCTGTGAGGACCGTATGCTATTGGGGGTTTGTGGACCCTAGATTGAGGAAGTTGAACTTCTGTTTTAATTAAACTAAGTCAAAATCGTTGTGATTAAGGACTTATGGCTTGGTATGGAGCCTTAAGACGTAAAACGTAAGGAAAGGCGTTGTCTTTAAGTTATATGCTTGTGTTGCATTATTACTGATATAGTATTGGTCCATAACAGATTGTGAATCTGCTGTGTTTGGACGTTGAGCTGTGGACTCTTGGTTATTGGATAGCTAGCTTGCGAGGTAAGCTTTCGTGTCCTCGGTTTAGCCATGTTGTGGTTCCACCATGTCCCATGGGGGTATGGTTTATGCATGTTGTGTACATGCTTTTGGATATTTGATATGTTGATTGAACTTTATATGTAATGGCTTTTAATATGCATGTGTTGTTTCATCTTGACGGGAAGCCTGAGTATGTAGCGCCATACAAGACGGTGTACCGGGGTGAATGCAAGTGGTACTTGCACGGTGTGTAGGTGATAGACGTATACCTGCACTCTCTCTGGCCAGTAGATTAGTATTGACACACATGGCATGATTATCTGCTGAATTGCATTGTTTTAGAAATGATAAATGATAAACTGCTTTTGAACTTATATTGCACATATAAGTGAGCTTGGGGTGGAAGATCCTTGAGGACTCACTGACTTACTGAGATTTCTAGATTAGAGATCTTACCCCACGTTTGAGGAATGCTTATTTCAGGATCAGGTAGTATGAGTACGGATGCCTCAGGCGGCAGGAGGCCGGAGCTTAGCTGATTATGTTTTACTGCTTTATGTTAGCATGACTGGATTTGGATGTTGTTTATGTTTTCCGCTATTTACGATATGTTGTTGTTGAGACTGATGTTGGGCATGTTGCCTTATTGGAGTGAGCATGGGGATTGTCTATGACACTTTCTGTTAGTACATTTTAGATGGGAATTGTATAAACTGTTAGATGGTCTGGTCTACATTGTTGTAGTTCCGTGACTAGAGCCACATTCTTATTATCTATGTTATAAGGTATTTCAGTTAGCTGTTTTATTGCAATTACATACAGGCGATGTTTTATTAATTGATTATTGCAAGTTGGTAATGTTAATGGCATCATAATTGAAAAGAAAAAGTAATTCCGCATTTTTAATTAAGCGCGGCTTAATACGATATTATGATAACATTGCTAGATATATATGGGGTGTTACAGGTAACGTCCTAATATATGTGGCCAACTCTCCTTTGAGATGATTTACAAATGTTAGCCAAAATCCCTACCCAAGAGGAGATAAAAAAATATTTTATTTGACATGGCACATCTCAAAGCACCAAGTGTTAATGGATTTTCTGCTGGTTTTTTTCAAGCTAATTGGAATAGAATGAAGGCCTAATTGTCTGAGCATATTGTCAAGTTATGGGATAATCCAGATCTAGTGGCCATAATTAATGCTACCCTCATAGTTCTCATCCCAAAAATTCAGAACCTTGCTCATATGTCTTAATTCAGACCCATCTCATTATGTCCAGACATTTATAAGCTATTGACCAAGATTATAGTGCAAAGGTTGAAGAGCATAATGGCCACGATAATATCTCCAGTCCAAGCTAGCTTTGTTCCAAAGAGGCATATTCATGATAATATTGTTATAGTGCAAGAATTAATTCATTCCATGCACAAAATGAGAGGAAGAAAACCATTCATGGCTATAAAAGTGGATTTGGAAAAAGCATACGATAGATTGAATTGGGAGTTTATGAGGAGAATAATGCATGAGCTGCAATTATCGGATAAGTTTATTCATATCATCAT